GTGAGCGGCTCGGGCAAGCGCGCGACCACCGCCTCCTCCACGCGCTCGGTCGGCAGCTGCCACAGCTGGTTGATGAGCAGCTGCGTGTTGTCCCGCGCCAGGGCCCGCAGTTCGGCCTCCGGCGAAGGCCCGGCCTGGCGCAGCACCGTCGGGGGGTTGCGGTCCGAAGCCAGCAGGTTGCCGAGGTCGAACTCCAGCTCCAGGTCCTTGTGCACCGTGATGCGCTGCAGCTTCTCCGCCTCCTCCCGCTCCGCCTTAGCCAGCAGCTCCTCCACGCTCTGGCTCTCCATGGCTCCCGCTGCGGCGTTCGGGTTCTTTCCTTTGGGGCAGCCGCACAAAGTAGCTTCACTACAGAAGCAGCCAAAGAACCGGCAACCACGTGCGGACTCGTAATCCGGAAGACAGATGTTCACTTCCGGGGTACCCGGAAGCGGCTCACTGTTGGGCGGCTAGGGAAAGGCCGGCAGAGGGCGGCATTGGCGAGCTGATGGGCTTGGAGGCGGGACTTGGCCTCGTAACCGGACGTGGGCGGACAGGCGCTGGGGGCTTGGTTGTCTGAGGACTAATCAGCGTTGGGCCTGGTTGGAACTACGTTTCCCAGCATGCTGCGGGGCAGGGGGGGTGGTGGTCGCCGTAGGACGCGGGCTGCTCAAACTCCCGGGGCTGCAGGCTCCGCAGCTTCCCGACCGAGCTTGCGGATAAGTCCTTTACGACGGTGTTTGAACTCTGCGGCTAAATCCGTTACAAAGGTGTTTGACTAATCAGCATTTCCTGGGGCGAGACAACCCACCCGCCAATAGTCAGAGTTCGTTTTTTGTGCCCTTGGTGTGAGCGGAGATTGCACGGACAGGTATAGAAGATTGCTTTGCGATTTAGGGCTGGCAGTTAGACTGTGCCAAGCGTCCGCGGACCCCAGTTTGCTGAGGACTCTCATTCCGCTCTGGGCAGAACGCTGACCTCTGCAGGTTGCATGACCTGGGCTCCGATTCTGGCTGTGCTAGCGTTTGATCCTGGGATGTTTAGTTAGGCCTGGAAAAGCTTGAAAGATCTCTAATAGTACTTCATATCCAGGACTCTTTTTTGGTTGGTTGGTTTTTTGTTTGTTTGTTTTGTTTTTCGAGACGGGGTTTCTCTGTAGCTTTGTAGCCTGTCCTGGAGCTAGCTCTTGTAGACCAGGCTGGCCTCGAACTCACAGAGATGCACTTGCCTCCCGAGTGTTGGGATTAAAGGCTTGCACCACCACAGCCCGGCCCAGAACTCTTTTAAAGGTAAATGTGTTGCTATGCTTTAAAAAAGGCTTAAAGTCAGTGAAAACCAACTAGCAGATTTTATCCAGTGGTTGTAGCTTGGGGAATTGAGGTGGTGTTATAGCCTGATTCATTTTACTAGTAACTGCCATCGACTTCTGTAGGTTTTACCTCAGTCCTGTTCAGACGCTGATAAATATGAAACCTTAATTAGTAACTGATACACAGGAAGATCTCTGTTGTTTCCACTAAATCTAGCCAAAGCAAACTTTTTTGCATATGGCAGAATCATGCTTATTCTTGGTTCTGTATGTTTATCATCTGGCTTCAGGTCACTCTGGAAAATTCTGTCAGAACAATCCTCCGCAGACTTGCTTCTAACCCCATTCCTTCCATTTTAGCTCTCCAGAGATTCAGGCATCTTTCTCAAGAAATACAAAATGAGATGCAGGGCAGAAAGAGCAGCTCTTAGAGGTTTGTGACCATGTTGTGACATTCCTCACGAACAGATGTGAAGAGAGATTTCCTGTTTTTTGTTCCAACCTCACTCCAAAGTGGCACAAGAGGGTTAAAGACCCACTGTGCCGAGCTCCCAGAGGCGTAGAGATATGAACAAAGGGGTCAAGGCCTTGTTGGGGAAACCCACAGAATCAGCTGACCCGAGCTAGTGGGCGTTCATTGTCTCCAGACTGGCAAATGGGGAACCTGCATAGGGCCTAACTAGGCCTCCTGAATGCAGGTGACAATGGCGTGTCTTGGGCAGTATGTGGGACCACTGGCAGTGGGACCAGGTGCTTGAACTGTGGGAGCCCATGTGTGACTCAGTTTCCATCTGGAGTCACTTCTGACTTAAAGAAGTCATTTGAGTTCAAGCTTGTCTGCTTGCTTTTTCCTTCAACCTTGAGGGCTATGGGAGACTTCTGATTTAGCTCGTGAGAAAGGAACACTCTATCTAGTAGACAGTATACTGCTGACGACAAACCCCAGGAACATCAAGATAGAAAGTGAGGCTGCTTCCGAGCAGCAAGTACATGTTAGAGAGGAGGCTGCTCACTCAAGGGCAGGAATGGTCTTGTGGTTAAACACTGACTGACCGTCTGTGCTGTGCTTTGTTTTGCTTTTGCATATAAACAAGCTCTGAAATAAACCCTGGGCTGTTTGGCTGCTGCGGCATGACCAGACAGACCTCCTGATTCTATCCTGTCTTCTGTTTCTTCTGACTTTTCTTTGGCCTCGAGGATCCCACTATCCAGGAACCTAGCTGACCTTGTAGGAGCTGGCTTCTTCAATGAACTGACTTTGTGGAGCCCATTTGCTATGGAGAGATAGATACCTTGCTCAGTTTAGATACAGGGTTGGGTGGTGAGGGGTTGGGTCGGGGTGGGGGGGGCGGTTGATCCTCCTGCAGTGAGGTGATGGGACAGACTCAGTGACTTAATTGACTTCTCAGAGGAGGCCTTACCCTCTCCAAGGAGCGGATGGGGGTTGGGGTGGGGGTAGAGGAAGGAGAGGAGGGAGGGGAATTGGGATTGGTATGAAAAAATAAATTAATTAAAAAAGAGGGTTAAAGACATGAAATTGGTACTGTTATTCCTTTGTGGTCACTTTAAGAGCTAGCCACGCCCACCCCCCAGCCACTTCTGACCTCCCTCGTCGCCATCTTTCATTGTCTTGTGTTTGTCTCTTGTTGTGTGTACATGTGTCTTTGTTTCTCTCTATGTTTCTCTTATGTCTCTCTGTTTTCCTCTTCTTTAAGCAATAAATGTCTCCCTCTTCTTTAAATAATACTATGTCCTGTGAGCCTTTTATCTGCCGTAACCGCCCGCCTGACTCCCCCGGCCACATGGCGCTGCCACCCTGGAGATCTTGCAGGGACCCACAGCCATCCTTGTCGGACTAGCAGCTGCTCTGCGAGCCGCCCTGGGCATCCCAACATCATATTTATTTTTAAAGAACAATAGGTACTTCTCACCATCTCTCAACGTGGGGTTACTTTGGTCAGTACAACAAGTACTGAGCAATTTTATCAGTCTTTAATATCACAACTTAGATTTGCTTCCTACTTAGAATATGAAAATAAGCAACTAGTTTAATTGTTGTATATATGGGTATATGAGTGCTGTTGCACATACGTGGAGGTCAGAGGTCAATTTGCTGGGTGTTTGGAATTGAACTTAGGCTGTCAGGTTTGGTAGGAAGTGCCTTTGTCCAGCGAGCCATCTTGTTGGCCCTTGTTTTCTTGGTGCCGATTGGTTTTCTTTCTTTTTGATGGTGGGAATTAAGGATGATCCAGCCAATTTTTAGTTTTGCAGTGAACATTGCTTTTTTCCTCTCTGAATATTTTTGTACAATAAATCCAGTATACCAGTTACTTTGATGAAATATTAGCTGAGGGCTCTTAAACCACTTAAGTGACTTTCACATGGCTCATTCTTACTGATTCATAATTTTATGTTGGAGGTACTTCAATGAATCCTATGTGCATGCATTTGGGTAGCATGTGTGTGTGTGTGTGTGTGTGTGTGTGTGTGTGTGTGTATGTGTAGGCCATAGGACAGCGGTTCTCAACCTTCCTAATGCTGCAACCCTTTAATGAAGTTCCTTATGTTGTGGTGACCCCCATAAAATTATTTTTGTTGCTACTTCATGACTGTACTTTTGCTACTGTTATGAATCATAATGTAAATATCTGTGTTTTCTGATGGTCTTAGGTGGCTCCTGTGAAGGGTCATTCGGCCCCCAGTTGAGAACCACTGCCTTAGGGGGACACGGTGTCTTGCCTGTGAGTCTCCACTTTATTCTCCTAAGACAGTGTCTCTCACTGAACCTGGACCTAGACTGGCAACCAGAAAAATCCAGGATCCTCCTATTCATGCTCCCCTCAGCTCTGAGATTACAGACATACACAGCCACAGTGACTTTTAAGTCTGTTCTGAGTATGTGGATTCAGGTCTTCATGTTTGTATAACAAATGCTCTTACCCATAAGCCATCTCTCCAGCCCTACTTCAGAAAAATTTCTTAATCATAGACAAAATTTACTTCACTTTTAGTCAGAAACCTGTCCTAAAAAAATCCATTATTTTAAAAAGAAACCAAGAAGGCATATTTATTAGATTTTGTGTAATTTGTGTAGAAGCAGATAAACTGCCAAGCACTGCACCTTTGTCTACAAGGAACTTTGGGTTTTAACACTGAAATTGAGTCAGCTTGTTTTGCTGTCTGGAAAGGTTTAATATTTGTTTTCTAAAAATTGATCAGTGAAGCTTTCTGCACTTACCATAATTTTATCACCACTGGTAAGATGATTTTTTTATTCATAAAAGAGCATATTCCTAGAGAATATTTGTGTTAGCTTTGAGATGTTCCGTCTAGAAGGAGGTTAATTCATAGATGAGAGATTCATGTATAAAGAAAAGCTATTGTTCTAGAATTTTAGAGGTATTTGTGTCCGATAAGATAGAAAATTTAGGTCGACTTACTAAATAATCATTTTTAATTACATTTAAATTTATGAAAGCTAGATTGCAATGAGCAAGAAATCCTAGCTGGTTATGGTAGTATATGCTTATACTCTGTGCATGCAGGAGGATTCTGAATTTGAGGCTAGTCTCGGCTCTATAGCTGTCTTCAAGTAAATAAACAGCCTTCAAGTGTGTGTGTACACATGTGTGCAATACACCCGTGTGTGTGTGTGTGTGTGTGTGTGTGTGTGTGTGTGTGTGGTGTGATCACATGCACGCCTGGATCTTATTATGTAGCCCTGGTTAGACTGGAGCTCATTGTGTAGACTAGACTGGCCTTGAACTCACAGAGCTCTGCCTTCCTCTGCTTTCTGATTGTTGGGATTAAAGGTGTACGCAGCATAAATAGCAACGCTTTGTTTTTTATAGAGTAGATTCACTTAAGACCCAGCAATTGAGTCCTCAGTAACTTGGTCTTAAGGAAGACAGTGTTCAATTTTCATTATAACCATAGGCCCTGTGTGAGTATGTATTCATTCTGGCAACTAAAGTTTTAACCAACCAAACTTTTCTCCTAAATGCTCTTTGCTAGCAATATTAAAAATACATGGAGTCTTTGGTGATACCTGATAAATGTTAGCTATTGGCTCCTGCTAACAATGGTTTGTTTCTAAAGA